TGATAATTTCAACAAATATCTATTGATTTAGAGACTTTACATAAGTCTAATTTACGATCTACATTTATATTTTTTGGGAAAAATGTTCAATGTCATCTCACGTGTGTATTTTTTAAATCTAGAATCATTTCACTTTTGTCCCTCAATACGGAAACATGGCAATAACATATTTGCCGTTAACAGCAATCACTTTTAATCCGAGGTACGTACAGAGGTTGAAGAGTTAGTGAGTTGGGTTTAACGCCGCTTTGAACAGTTACTGTATTCCTGCTGAGGGCCCGTAAGTTTCACGAGGCTCTACTTCCGGTACCAGATTTCCGGTGACAAGCGTAATTAAAACTTTATTCAAGAACCAGTTGGTTCCAAATTGCGCGACCTCTGTGGAGACAGTCGTGTTATAGTTGTCTAATTTGGGGATGGTTAGATCGAAAATTTGATATTCCTGCAAGGATTATCGGTTCCTTACTGTCACCTGACAACCATGAGACCATTCGAATAGGTATGAATATGGGAGTAATTAAAACCTGATGTGATGCACGTGTGCACGTGACTCCGCCCCACTCATGACGTATTTATGATTACTGTGCACTTGGGCAGGGCACCACACACGTGTGCACGTATATCACTCTGGTGAAACCCACGAGCGCTGGTATCGTGATGACAAACAGGCATCAGCGCGAAATAGGAGATTTTTGTGGAGTAATGTGTTCACAAGGTGGTGATACATATAAAGATAGAGTTAGAATTGCTCTCCAGCAACCCATGTTTGTCGTAAGAGACGACTAACGGGATCGGGTAGTTGGGCTCACTGACTTGGTTGACACACATCTTATCTCAATTGCGTAGATCGATGCTCATGATGTCAGTCACGGGATTGTCCGGTCCAGAGTCAGTTATTTACAGACCGCCGCCATATAGGTGGAAAATGTCAGTGCGGCCATAAACAACAAACAAACAAGCTGATGAGTCATAGATAAAAATATTTAAATTGATAAAAAGACATTCTATTTCATGAAATATTTCTGGGGGCTCTAAGGTTACTTTTGAAAAAGTCTCTCGCTATTAGTGCTGACAAGTGTAAGTGCCCTTTTCGGTCGACCATACGATGAAAATATTCTTGAGGGGTAAAAAGTAAGGTATACCGAAGTTGTTTTCTATGTTTCAAAATTTGAAAACACTGATCGAACGTTTTTTAACCACAACTCATTCCTGGAACAGTTTGTGAAATAAATCTATGCATCTATGGGTTGGTTTCTATTATATAAGATTGTTTAAGGAAGACTGGAGTGAGAATTGAATTTGTAACCGTGTTCGAAATTTGTGCCGAAAACACAACAAACTTACTGATTTTTCAAAGATAAGATATCTAAAATAGCGACCATCTTAACATCCACAAAAAGAAACTGTACATTAAAAATGTTTCTAAATGGAACCTTCCCATGAAAACTTTAATAGGTGGATATTGAGATGATAAGAAGATGGTAGAACAGCGCGTGTTTAATGTCCACGACCCTGATATTTCGAGTCCTAGTGGGGTGCAGGGCTCTGTAAACACGTGGATGTCCGCCACTTCGGGAAGTGTTAACACGTCTGTTAAAACAACATGCCTCCACCACGACACCTGTTGACGGACATGTTTTCAGTATCACCTATGACGGTTTTCTACATGTCGTCACAGAGTCAGAATAGGTCGTGTGACGGGGGTGACGTGGTCGTTATACCGTATTATAGCTAACATACATGGAATTATCATGAAACGGCCCTCCTATTATCAGAAAATTCAAATTTGCGGGTCGATGCAAATGATATTGTACCGCTCAATATCAGTTCTGTTGTCAAGTGATGTCATAGTGGGTGCGTGGGCTTACGGTTCATTCGACATTGGCTTTGGACTGGCAGATATTCTGGGGCAAACAAGTCAAAGCGACCCGAATTCCCGCTTTAAATAGCGGTAATATTGGCTTTCTTGCTGGTGCTAACCTTAACAACTGCACTAAATAACTTTGTTGTTGGACCAAAACCGAACACTGAAAACTGACGTTGTGTCTGACTTAGTTTGACATGTTGCAGGCCATGGTCTTGTCAAAGGCCATGGTCGAATATCGTCACGTTCTGTTGTGACGTCACTGGAATTGTTCGATGACGTAATTGCATTCGGGCAGTAAACCCCGTCAGAAGTTGGGTTTGAGTAAACCTACAGTCAAATTCCTTCATTGTTTCCTTTTTATCCCACCGGCATGTAATGCGGTGGGATATAGTCGTCGCCTCGTCTGTCCGTCCGTCCGTCCGTAATCATTTTGTTTCCGGACCATAACTCAAAGACCGTTCGATATTTTTCAACAAAAATTGGTAGATATGTCAAACATAACCTAAGGTGGTGTCTTTTGCTATTTACAGATTATTGTCATTTTTATTTTTCTCGGTTTCCATGGACACGTTTTGGACTTAGTCTTAAAGAAGGGTGGGCTTCGTTTCCGGAGCATAACTCAAAAACCGTTCAATATTTTTCAACAAGACTTGGTACATATATCAAACAGAACCTTAAGTGGTGCCTTTTGCTATTTGCAGATTTTTGGCATTTTTATTTTTCCCGGTTTTCATGGAAACGATTCGGACTTAGTCCCAAAAGGAGGGGTTGGTGTCGTTTCCGGAGCACAACTCGAAAACTTCTCAATATCTTTCAGCAAAACTTGGCAGATACTAGTATGTGAGTCAGATCTTGAAGTGGTGCCGCCTTTTGCTATTTGCAGATTTTTGTGATTTATTATTTTCTCAGTTTCCATGGAAACAATTCGGACTTAGTCTCAAAAGGAGGGGTGGGCTTTGTTTCCGGAGCACAACTCAATAACCGTTCAATATTTTCCAACAGAACTTGGTAGATATAAGGCAGATCCCAAAGTGGTGCCTTTTGCTATTTGCAGATTTTTGGCATTTTATTTTCCCGGTTTTCATGGAAACGATTCGGACTTAGTCCCAAAAGGAGGGGTTGGTGTCGTTTCCGGAGCACAACTCGAAAACTTCTCAATATCTTTCAGCAAAACTTGGCAGATACTAGTATGTGAGTCAGATCTTGAAGTGGTGCCGCCTTTTGCTATTTGCAGATTTTTGTGATTTATTATTTTCTCAGTTTCCATGGAAACAATTCGGACTTAGTCTCAAAAGGGAGGGGTAGGTTTTGTTTCCGGAGCACAACGCGAAAACTTCTTAATATCTTTCAGCAAAACTTGGCAGATATGTGAGGCAGATCCCAAAGTGGTGCCTTTTGCTATTTGCAGATTTTTGTCATTTTTATTTTTCTCGGTTTCCATGGAAACGATTCAGACTTAGTCTCAAAAGGGCGGGGTAGGTTTCGTTTCCGGAGCACAACTGGAAAACTTCTTTATATCTTTTAGCAAAACTTGGCAGATATGTGAGTCAGATCTTGAAGTGGTGCCTTTTGCTATTTGCAGATTTTTGTCATTTATTTTTTTCATGATTTCCATGGAAACGATTTGCACTTAGTCTAAAATCAACTGTCAGATGATTTGTTCTTTCAAAGATGTGGGGGCCGGGGGGATATGTCATCCTCTGATGACTCTTGTTCTTTTTCAAAACAATTCCATGTATTTTAGCAATAATAACGGTAATGCTATTTTTTAAGGCATTATCATTTGCAGAAGCCCTCGGTCTATTTCAACCGCCTCCTTCGTCGGGCAGTTAATTGAAGACCTGTGGCTTCTACAAAAGATAATGCTCTCAAAAATAGCATTACCGTTATAATAATGTAAAAATAGTCTCAAAGGGTCGTTGACTGTGTTGGGATGGATACGTGCATATGTGTTCAATTCACTGATTACTGTTTTTACATCTGTATGATTACACGTGTATTTCCAATATATAGAGATTGATTTCATATCACTTCAGTTTCTCATTGTGCCTGCTATATTATATAATAACTGAGAGACATGTTTGCTTTTGCACTTCGTTTTATAAATGTTTCAAACAAACTAATGTGGAAACATATAAATACAGGGGCGGATCCAGGAGAAGGAGAAGGCGTCCACATACATAATGAAATCCAAAGGTTAGGGGGACATGCTTTTCAGGGAATTTTGTTTCGGGGAGAGCATACACCATAGGCGGATCCAGAGGGTGCGCGCGTGTGTGTGTGTGTGCACACACCCCTTTTGCCCTGAAAGTTTATTAAATGACCATTGAAACGCTGGTTAAAATGAGGTGTGCACCCCTCCTTTTCTCAATAGTGTGTGCAAACCCCCAACCCCCCATTTCTCAAAAAGCTGTATCCGCCCACTGATATAACGTGCATGCCTCTCTGAGTTTCCACGTGTACTGTTTACATACGGGTGTAATTTTACCGCCGCTATATAAATGGAATATCCTCGAGTGCGGCAATATCGCCACCAAAACTTGTTGATAGCGTTCTGGGATATATTTATTATGAACTGAACACAAATTACATGACCGTGAAGGAAATAGCCAACAAGAAAAGTAAATAAATACGCGTGCGTGTAAAAAATGTATGTGTTCATTCCTTCTTTGACTGGCATTCGAGAAATTGGGTAGATGAAGGATGAGGACTATTTTTATGGTTATACAACTTCTTTATTCTATATAGGCGACGTTTCATTCCTATTATTATAATAGGTTCAGAATCCACATGATTTATTTTTTGTGTTTATTTACATAATCTTTACAGAGATATATAATCTTTCTGAGGACTTTAGTGGTCAAAATTTGCATCACTGTCGGCGTAATATCAGGAAATTTATCAAAATATAGACGGGTTCCTTTTTCATCTTCCAAAACTGAATATCTTGACAAGTGTCACCGATTGTTCTGTTACGTGTCAATGGAGATATGTTTATGGATGCCTGGTTTATATTGACTAGATACAATGATTTGATTGAGAATGCTTTATAAATCTGTTCTTGTTTATTTTATTTGGTTCGTGCGCGCTTCATGCCAATATGAGCTCACCTATCCCTCCTTTCATGGAAGGGAAATGAGAGACGTTTGACCTGTGACCGTTGACCTGATATATGTGATGTCACAGGCAAACAGCCTCGTTCTCGCTGCCATTAGTCGTGTGCTCTTGTTGGAGTAGGTCGCTTGCCACTCGGGTGAAACATATTCTGTGAGTACGCAGTTTTGACTTCGTCAAATGCATTTAATTGGCACGTGGTACATAATGAGGGATATTCATAATGAGTGCTAGTTATTTATTTTGTGCACATTTGATAATGACTCGTACTTCCTCAGCGTCCTTGTAGTAGGACGAACTGACCTTGAACTAACTCATTTATACAGTCTAGGTCGTCCTACCTTGACGTATCGTAAGTTTGCAAGGACATTGTATAGATTTTAACTAAACACGCAGTCTGAATGGCCCCGAAAAATACTCATGTGAAACAATAACATGTAAATATTAGAGTGATTATGACAATACATTCAGGTTTATTTTGACCCAAACATGGTTTTATTGACGAATTTGTACCTCCTTGTCAGACGGATCTTTAATATTTATATATTTTGACAATATGTATGTAAACATAATTTAGTTTGCTGCACCCGTTTTACTGTTTACCCCTTAAGTCTAGAAATGGTAAGCCTCTCAACCACTGGAATAATGTATACATACCGAAATTGTTACTTTCATGCCTTTCATAGACGCTGGTTTACTTGACATGGGCCCAGAGTCAATGACGAAGTCAGTTGCATGTGTTCATTGATAGTATTGGTAAATAAACATGTTTACTACAAGCTTATTTGTTTGATAAACACCCTTAGAAGTAAACACAGTAAAAGGAAGTCGTTGTAGCCTTGTACGTGACGATGTGAAGCTATCCAATTCCACATCCTTGACAGAACAGATGACTTCAAGGAGTGACAAAACTGACGCAATACGGATTTAGGTGTTTCAGATCTGATGTAGTTCCAGGAACAAATTGCTTCATTTTATACATTCATTTAAAAGGACTTGTCTGAAAGTATAACTGTTCTTTCAAGAGAAGCTTACTTTACCTGTTTACAGATCATACAGAAGTAAGTAAAAAATATTCTCCTTCATTAGAGATGTGTAAATATAAGTCCATACAATATTGTACATGTAGAGAGGATTTAATCTATTCTACAACCACGTAATACATAGCAAAGGACATAATTCTACTGTTCTGTATTTTGCCTGCATTTATTTTATTTCCTTAGCCATTGTTCAACGTTCAGCATGGAGTGGTCCTTGTGATTGTCCTGATGTTTAAAGTTTAAAGATTTAGGCGTCCCCAGAATGAGACTAAAATTCTATTTACTTTTGGTGCAAACCCCAAGTTACACAGCTTAAGTATAAACACTTCCAACTGAGGGATTGATGAATATTTGATGCTCAGCATCATCATGATGTAGAATGTTGTAAATTCAAATTCACAACTAATCCAAATTCTGAGTCAAAATCTCGTAGAGATCTAATAAGCATGATAGGAATAACTAAAAAGTGTCCATAATGTCTATAGTGATTTTGCAACAAATCTTTAAGACCTTTCATGATGTTTAGCAAATTTTGATAGAATATTCTGTCATCTCATTATCAAAAAACATGGACAGAATGTCTTGATTAAAATTTACTGAAAACGATTCTACAGTGTTTGTCTGCATGCCATTTATATATGATGGAGATCTGTCTGTGATATATATCATGGTACACGTTCAGTGCTATATAGAAGACGTGTAATATAACTACTGAACCATCTGTGCAGTCACCAGATGATATTGATACATGTATCTATCACAGCCTGTGTCCTTGACCTTGATGTGTTAGGACATGTTTTTTTAAAGATCTTTATTAGTGTATGTGTTAATTTTTAGCAGTCAATTTATTGAATAGTCATGTTTTGTAACAAGTTAAATCTTCTGCGTGGCAAATCCATGATCTTCAGAAATTGACGGTTACAAGTTTTTTTTCTGATGACAATGACCTTGATGACTGGATGCCCTTGGCAGTGTGAAGGACTGTTGCCCTTCAAATTCGGAACAAAAGATCTGAAGGAATGTTAACCTTGAATTTAGGAATGAAAGATCTGAAGCAATGTTGCTCTTGAAGTTAGGAATGAAAGATCTGAAGAAATGTTGCTCTTGAAGTTAGGAATGAAAGATCTGAAGAAATGTTGCTCTTGAAGTTAGGAATGAAAGATCTGAAGAAATGTTGCTCTTGATCTTAGGAATGAAAGATCAGATTGGTGGGGTTCTTAAACAAATTGACTATATCTCAGTCTAAAACAAAGCTTACAAATGCTTGAATCTTGTCAAGGGTCTTGATTTTGGCAGTGGACAAATAGGTTCAAATCTGGTTTGAAACTGTTCAGATTTGATAAAATGACTAATCCTGGTACAGGTATTGTCAACATTTCAAACAAAATTGCAATGTCATCTTGTATGTATTTTACAGAGTGATTTGACAGAAATTGTTTGACTATTTGAGGCACTAGCATGACAGAGCAAGTTTTGGTGTTATTGAAGATCGTGACTGGCTAATTTTGTTTGGGAAATACTCTTGTCTCGCCCTGTCCCGCGATGATGGGGTGGCCAAGTGATTAAAGTGTTCGCTCATCATGCTGAAGACCCGGGTTTGATTCCCGATATTTTTACAACTTGTGACTGACTGACTGACTGACTGACTGAGTTGGTTTTACGCCGCTTTTAGCAATATTCCAGCAACATCACGGCGGGGGACACCAGAAATGGGCTTCACACATTGTGCCCATGTGGGGATTCGAACCCGGGTCTTTGGCGTGACGAGCCAACGCTTTAACCATTAGGCTACCCCACCGCCCCTACAACTTGTGAAGCTCATTTTTGGTGTCCCCTGCTCACTGAAGTAAACTGACTCACTGACCCTGTCCCATATTCATATAGTATTACAGTAATGCATTATATAATTTCCAAGACTGGTTACTATGTTATTTATTATGGTATTTGCTTGGAGTCCAAGGAGAACACAAATGAGACAATGAAGGACTCAAAATTACACAGAACTTGTGTGTGCCTAAGCACTGGAGCCTGTTTCTCAGGGGGGCTGTGATGTAGCCTATAGTTAACATGTCCGCTCGTCATGCCAAAAACCCGAGTTCGATTCCCCACATGGGTACAATGTGTGAAGCCCATTTCTGGTGTCCCCCTGCAGTGATATTGCTGGAATATTGCTAAAAGTGGCGTAAAACCAAACTCACTCACTCACTGTTTCTCAGGTGTGCCATTTTCGAGTTTGGTGTGCATTAGATTGCTCGACCAATGTTATAGTACAGAGAGATCATTTGGGTATTAAACTCCCTAATATATGTACTAATTGTTTAATAAAACATTCAACTGATTTGATCATGATCATAATAGTGCTGGAGCAATTGATCAAATAATGGGTCAATCGATCGATATCGCATGTCCGTCAGAAATGACATTACTTTTTCTTAGCATGACATAACTCTGACATTTGAAGGTGTCTATGTGGAGGTTGCGTTGTAGATGTAGTATACAACATTGCTGCAGGTTCCCAGCACTATAGAGCTTATAAAGGCCAACCAATTTGGATCAGGGTGTTTTTTGCACTAATCAACCTTGTCAGTAAGACTGTCTTAAGTCTATGTTAAGGTATGAGAGACTCCAGGAGTTACAGTCTCCTCAGCGCTAGGATTGCTTTGTACAACAGCACCCAAGTGGTCATGCTGGGTGACTTCGTTGTATGACTCATACTTGGATGGTTTATTTCTTGTCAACCAAGACTTGGCTTTTCACGGGCAGTATCTATATAGGTGAAAATGTACACGGCTCGATTTAAGGAAAAGAAAGCTACTTGTATCTGGTGCAACCTTAGTTAATATTATAGCCTTGCTGCCCTTGACAAAAACAGGTTGCACTTGTTGTTTAATATAAAATGATATATAATGCGTGATTTTTTGTATGGATGATTTAGCACATCAACTTGCATGGTAACAAAATTATTAGACAGTAACAATCACTCATGCACTATCCGTGTGGCTATCAGTCAAGCCAGTTCCACATTCTGTTTTCCAGCTGAAGTCAATGTTCTTTGAACAGCAAAATATAAACACCCATTGGGTGCAAGTTTGCATAAATATGTGGTTGCATTTTGAGGTTGCCCCAGTACAAGTTCCATATGCATAAGTCGAGCCCTAATGTAGCTTTGTGTAGCATTGCCCACAATCTGTTATATCAGACTCAGCACTGTGAAATCAGGTAAGATTTGAAACGGTCAGGATTATAGATGCAGGTAATGTACGCAAGACTTAATTTCATTACACAGCATTATGAGTATTACGATATTTCTTCTGTTTACATGACGGAGTCTAGGTTTTAAAAGCAGCTTGAATAAGGACTTTGTTGTTTGTTCCAGAAAGCCATGCCTGCTTTTACGCCAGCTTTGACTCCTGCACAGGAAGATGAGCTCCGTCAAATTGCCAATGACATTGTAGCTCCAGGCAAGGGTATCCTGGCTGCTGATGAGTCAACCGGTGAGCAGAATAGAATGATTGCAGATTTGACTCTTGTTTTGGTGGAAAAATTCAGTATTTTAGTCCCATTGTGGTTTACAAGATCTTTTTGATAAAGTTATTTGTTATTTAATCATTGACTTTTTAAATGAAATTGAATTGTTTGAAAAATTGTGATAAATATGTTTTGTAACAGATCGATAGCACAATCACCAACTGTTGAAGTGATGGTGTAAATCCAGCAAAGGACCATGCAGGAAGCAAAAGTTCCCATTGTCCTTAGCCTGATGATTACCTTAATTTACTGGCAATCTATTGCCTGTTATATGTTATATTGTCTCAAATTTGCAAGCTAGTTTTACGTCTATATCTGTGATATTTTAGTTGTTTTTGCCATCCTTTGTCCATAGGCCTCTGTGTCATGCATTTATAATTGTTTTTGTTACTTTATGGCTGAAATACTGCTGATGTGACTAAATGTTGCATTTCAAGAGTGAGTTCCATGATGAATGAATGATTGCCTATAAAGAAATATATGTTATATTCATCAGTGTTTGAAAATATGGATAAAACTAAAAGTCTAGATGTGCTCGTCAGAACATGTGATCTTTAGGTCTGAGGGTTCTCTGAATGCTAGTGTCAGATACTGTAGAACATTTAGAGGACAACAGGACATTGTGAAGGAAATGCATGATGTCCTTGTCCTTACATTTGTCAACCCAGTCCATGAACAACCCAACACATTAATCCCCTCTTTAGGCAAGAATGGATTGTCCAAAACCAAATCCAATCCAGATCTTGATGGATCAAGTTGCTAATTATGGTGAACATTGTATTTTTAGGCACCATGGGCAAGCGTCTCTCCGGCATCAACGTGGAGAACACGGAGGAGAACCGCCGCAAGTACCGGGAGCTCCTGTTCACCGCCGATGATGTTGTTTCACAGAACATCAGTGGTGTGATCCTCTTCCATGAGACTCTCTACCAGAAGGCATCTGATGGAACTCCTTTCCTGAAGATCCTCAAGGATAAGGGCATCATCCCTGGCATCAAGGTCGACAAGGGTGTGGTCCCTCTTGCCGGCACCTTCAATGAATGCACAACTCAGGGTAGGCTATGGTGATCTTTTGTCTGTCATCTTTGAATTCCCGTGAACACAGGCACTGCAATGAATCTACTATCAGTGAGAATGGTTTATGTGACGTTTAGCAATATGCCAGCAATATCACAGCAATATCACACCGGGGAACACCAGAAATGGGCTTCACATTGTACCCATGTGGTAATTCGAACCCAGATCTTCAGCATGACAAGCGGATGTTTTAACCATTACTGGCATTAGTCTACCACACTTTCCACTGAATCTGCTATTGGGGGAATAATACATATCATAGGTATTGGGTAACGAATACAGTAACAACACAGTTTATGTGTTATTCAATATATTCTGCGAGACAATAGCAAAGGAAATTATGCTTTGACCTTGTTGACAGAGTTAATTTATCAGTGACCAGTGATCACATTACTGTCAATTTAAATATAAGAAGTGTTTACTGTTATCATGCCTGACTTCGATTTGTTCCATATTTTGCATATCTTTGATAAATAACTCCCCAATTCAAATAAAAAAACAACTTTAAAGAAATATTCAAAATATTTGATTCTAGTGATCGGGAATAACAGATTGAATTCATGAAGGGAAACAGATCAATTTGTTGAAAACACAAGTGAATTGTAACAACACAATTGTCATCTTTTAACCGTGTCATTTCAATATTTACCGTGCCATGGCACACTAATTTATGGAGTATTTCGAACCCTGAAAACATTTTTCGGGAAAACAGCTCGTCTGTCTTGATTTTCACTCTTCTTGGACTAATAGACTGGTGATCATATTTATCCCTTTCGTATCTGGCTTTAGTAGACAGCATATAATGTCTAGTGCTTTTGATTACCTGAGAATTGGTCTCAGCTACTTAAAAAGATGTTGCCATAGATTTGGCGCAATACCTATGTCCTAAGTAAATGTTTTTTTCATCACTTCATCACTTTGTCCTCAGAATCTGTGTCTAGGAAGCAAAGATTGAGATGAATAAAGTCATGTTTTCTTCATCACTTCATCACTTTGTCCTCAGAATCTGTGTCTAGGAAGCAAAAATTGAGATGAATAAAGTCTATATTCATCATCTCAATCTTTGCTCCCTAGACACAGATTCTGAGGACAAAGTGATGAAGAAATAAAACATATTCATCTCAATTTTTCCCCTAGATGAAGAAAACATTTACCTAGGAAAGTATAAATAAATTCTTTTTTTCTACAGAAATTGATTTTAATAGAATTGAGACAGTTTAGTTGTCAAGGAAATCTGTAAACAATCTGACAAGTTGCTACATGTAATATTGTCTTGAAACCTTTTCTTGACAAGTGTGCAGCATAATGAAAAAGGAATCCTGTTCAAAATCAACTAATGATTTCGGTCAACTGGTACAAGCATCAGCTTAGTCTTTTGCTGTTAAATAATACTCAGCAACTTTTGGTAGTCTTGTACAAGTGGAATTATAAGGCTTTGTCCTGCAGTATATTCCTTAGAACTTGGTCCTTCATTTTCATGCGTAAGAAATGTGTTTTATGATGATTTTTCAAAACTTGTCAGAATTCATGCATCCAATCATGCTGAATAAATAGACATGCTACCACTTTATACAGTACCATTAAATCAGTGTGACACACAATAAATTCATTTTTGTTTCTTGAATATGAATGTATATGGTAACTGATCATATAAATTCTGATCATGTTTCCCACTGAATATTTAAGAGAAATTAAAGCTGCTGTAAATGACAGCCAGATGGATGCTATCTGAATGTTTGAATAAAAAAGTCTCTTACAGTTATAAAAGATACGGCAGTCGTAGCGCTACGAAGTTGCGGGGGATATAGAAACAAGTTCCATCCGTCCGTCCGTCCGTCCGTCACTTTGTCCAAAGCATATCTCCTAAACTATTCGTGATAGCTTAACCAAACTTGTGTCACATGTCAACCATGATCCCTAGATGTGACTTTTGGGGGTTAACCCAGATACAAATTTTATTTTTTGCTGTTTCCATGGAAACGTGACTTAGTCTGTGGCTATGAGAATGTCATCTTGTCCGGAGCAGATCTCCTAAACCGTACATGCTAGCTTCATCAAACTTGGTACACATATCAAGCATAATCCCTAGATGTGCCTTTTAGGGGTTAGACCCCGATATGAATTTTATATTTTGCTGTTTCTATGGAAACATGACTTAAGCTGTGACTATGAGGATGTCATCTTGTTGCATTTCAACTGGCTTCAACTGAATTTGGTGGTAGTGCTCCTTTCTGGGGCAGATCTTAAAACCTTTCAATACTCTCCTTCCACTTTGCTATATACACTCCAAAACATTTGACATAATCATAACTAGTAGATATATTCATAAAGAGTATTTTGCCGTTGCGGGGGATATGTCTTCTTGTTGTTAGTTGTTAATATCAACAGTACACATTTTTACAAAACAGTATTTCAGGATGTCATGCACTCTACCATTATTCTAAATAGGACCTGTATTCCTTTGCAGGGAGTGAACAGCAGCCAATCAAATCATATTTATAAACTGCTTCTATTAATACTGTTTGTGTCCATACTGTTAGAAAATATGATTGAGTTACATTCCATTGTACAGTTTCTTACTGTATAATTATATAACCTTCTGATAGGATACAATTCTTACACAAAAAGAGGCTCAAAATATTGAGATGCACTGACCCTTCTGTGAACTATGTGATGAATCTGAAGCTGATTTCTGTGATGCGTTCTTTCAGGTTTGGATGACTTGGGTACCAGGTGTGCCCAGTACAAGAAAGATGGAGCCCAGTTTGCCAAATGGAGATGTGTGCTGAAGATTGGCCCACACACCCCTTCCTACCAGTCCATGCTGGAGAATGGCAATGTCCTTGCACGCTATGCTAGCATCTGTCAACAGGTAAGCTGGCATTTACACTGTAGCCAATTTGATGAAGCTGGAGTCTGGTATAATTACCGACTCTTTTAAAAACAAAGTGTTTGTTGTTTAATGCCACACTCAGCAATATTCAAGCTTTGTGGCAGCATTCTGTACATAATCAAGTCTGGACCAGACAATCCAGTGATCAACAGCATTCGCTTCCATCATCCATGCAATAAGGATACGATGACATGTGTCAACCAAGTCAGCGAGCCTGACCACCGATCCAGTTAGTCACCTCTTTCGGCAAGCTGAGTTGCTGAAGACCAATTCTAACCCGGTTCTTCAAGTGTGAAACAAAAATTGACTCAGTACTGTATTTAGGCAAGGTTCTGATACAATAGTGGGTTAATGTAGCACAGTTTCGCACTGTTAGTTATTTTCTTCCTGTTGAATTCATGTAATGGGATAATACTCCATTATGGCAGGAAAATGTAATCTTATGATTTTAAGTCTAAATGTATGGGTGAAAATTTCATGTAAATATTTAAACATGTTGAATGAGATAAGAAGTAATTACTTGGACATAATTATATTAGTACACCAAATGGTAAATTTATGAAGCTTTATCAGAGTGCAATTAGTATCAGTTTCCAAAAACTCTCAAAATTTAGCTAGAAGTTCATGGAAACAATTCAGTCCTACATAGATGCTGTCAAGATGTATGATGTACACTATTCTCCATTAGTTTATTATTGTCTGTACATCTATTGAAGATTGTGTGTAGATTTTGGAAGTCGTGTTGTGTGAAAATGTGTTTGTGATGATGCTTTGTAATAGGGGTGTCACGATACACCAATCTCACGATACGATACGTATCACGATTTTAAGGTCACGATACGATACGTATCGCGATACATTATTTTCGCGGCCTGTTCATAGCATTACCTTACACCGGCAACGTAAGCTACATCTAAGCTGGTCTTGTATAATTTTACTATTTTGAAGGAGATGGATATAGCATAAAAATTTGAATCGATAAAGTTCGATACACTGAAGCAGTATCTTATCATATCGTCATAAAATGTGTCGATGCATCGATACATTCGCGTATCGCGACACCCCTACTTTGTAAGAAGCTCATTTGAAATATAACCAGTTCAAGCTCTTGAAATCATTTTCAGGGATTTACAGGACAGGAATTCCTGCGTCTTATACACATAAAAATTGACAATGGACGCAACAAAATTTATTAGCGCGTCCACAGGGACTCAAAAAAGTCCAAATACTTTTTGTAAAACTTCAAATCAAGTGACAATAAGTTATCACTGAGTTTGCTACTAGCTGGGTTATGGTATTATTTGCAATTTAATTACTGTAACAATGTGATGATCATGATACACAATACAATAACAGTATTAATAATAATATTTAAGTGTCTGGACCCCCATTTTGTGGTCCAGGACCCATGAAAATTAAGAGTATGAGTCCAAGGGATCCTCAAAAACAGGACTCGAGGTAAATCCCTGCATTTTGTTGCCAGCAGATAGGTTTGAGCTTGTACCCCCCAATAGTGTTATCATCAGTTGTGTCCTTCGTGTCTCCCATATGAGGAGTCAGAGAGATGAAGTGCCCAGTGACCCAAGGGCTGACCTTGAGGTGTCAGGGTCACAGCATGTGACCTTGGTGATTGTACGTCACCCTTACAACATGTTGCTATCCCTAATGTTCAGTTCAGTTTATTGTTAAGACCAATATCTCTTGTATGTATATCATATGATTGTTCCATTGCACATGCATAAATTGAATGTATTACATTTCTATTCTGATTTTAAATATACTATGCGATATCACAGATGGAATTTGTTCGGAGTCTTTGACACTTAATTAAACGTATCATATGGCTAGGTTTTTAAAACAATGGTTACAGAGGTCTAGCAAACAGAATATGCTTTTCATTTTCTTGACATTGAGAGTGTGAGGAGATAATGTTACGTTTACCTTGATGTATGTTTTACATGGGTACAATGTGTGAAGCCCATTTCTGGGTCCCCCTGCCGTGATATTGTTGAAATATTGCTAAAAGTGGTGTAAAACCATACTTGCTCACTCACTCACTGATGTATGTTTTGAAAACCAAATGTGTTATATTTGTGTAAAAAATCTCAGCCAGGCCTTTCTGTAATTCAGTACCTCAATAGTTTGGGTTCAAACAGAAGTTCTGATTTCAGGTTTAAAAGCAATTCAACTGATTGTATCTATGACAAATGAATCAATATCCTCAATGCATTGGAAACTAACAGCTGAATATAGGCTGTATTGTCAAGCCATTGACCCAAGTGTTTGCCTGGGTTATGTTCATGAATATGTATATTATTTCAGAACGGCCTTGTGCCCATTGTTGAACCAGAAGTATTGCCAGATGGTGATCACGATATCCAGACAGCACAGAGAGTCACAGAGCAGGTAAGACTTCAGCAGGATTCAGTCTTCAAAGGCAATTGGGCAGTGGGGTATCCTAGTGGTTAAAGTGTTTGCTTGTCTTGCTGAAGGCCCAGGTTCGATTCCCCACATGTGTGAAGCCCATTTCTGGTGTCCCCTGCCGTGATATTGCTGGAACATTGCTAAAAGTGGCGTAAAACCATACTCACTCACTATAAGGTGATATTTTCAGATGGTCTTGCGGTCTGTAGTCTGACCCCAAGGCCACAGTCCAAAGAATTTAACAGATAGTATTTGTTTTACACTAGTTTGTGCTCAGCATTAACATAATTAAGGGCATGAAAAAGTAGGATGTGTTGTCTATATCCATATATTCAATCCATATTTAACAAATAATAGGTGGTGATAAATACTATAAATCATTTGAACACTGTACTAAGTGTTGTAACCATACATCAATACAGTAATGTATTGTGAGCCTTGAAACAATTTACAACCCCTGGATCTCTATAAATGAACTACATTACATAAAGTTATTTATTGATGTAAAACGTGAAAAATACAAGAACCAGTTTATGCAGATCTAGTAATTCCTGGTTGGCTATGCATACTAAAGTATGCAATGCCCACAAGTATATGTTTCTTCCTATTAATATCCCCTCTTTGCTGTCTGAGATTTAAGAACAGATGATTCAGAGTTGTGATTCACCAGCTAAAAGGGAGAGAATATGAAATTAAGAAATATAGGTACTGTATCTGGATAACAATTGACTGCATCAGTACATATATCACAGGATACATATATCACTGCCTCATTATATCATTACACTTCCAGTACTAACACATTTCTGGTGTCCCCCGCCGTGATATTGCTGGAATATTGCTAAAAGCGTAAAACTAAAACTCAGTCAGTCAGTCAGTCAGTCAGTCAGTCCAGTACTAACATCAGCATCTTCTGTTCTATAGGTCTTGGCATTCACATACAAGGCACTGGCTGACCACAATGTCTTCTTGGAGGGCACCCTTCTCAAGCCCAACATGGTGACCGCTGGCATGAGCAGTGCTCAGAAGAACAGCAATGAGGAGAACGCCCGTGCCACAGTCCAGGCCCTCTCCAGGACTGTCCCACCAGCAGTTGCAGGTACTGTGTCGTCTTACTTTGGTTCATGGACGTTAAAATGAAACACCATTGCTTTGTTATGATTGCAAAATGAACAGTTGTTTAAGTGTCTTGTTGGGGCGGTGGGGTAGCCCAGTGATTAAAGTGTTCGCTCGTCACGTTGAAGACCCAGATTCAATTCCCCACATGGGTATGATGTGTGAAGCCCATTTCTGATGTCCTCTGGCGTGATATTGTAGAAGATTGCTAAAAGCGGCATAAAACTAAACTCACTCATTAACTTTCTTGGTAACAGCATCCACGTTTCAATCAATCAATCAATCAATCAATCAATCAATCAATCAATCAATCAATCAATCAATCAGGGGACTGCTCAATTCCAGGACACTATTCCTCAAAGTTATAATAACACTAATAGTGAACTCCTATATATCCTGGACAGCACCTATACACATTATCTCTAGGACATGTCACCTGATATTCATTTGTTAATGTTAACACTGGTTTTGGTGGTATAATACACTGCATGTTAGGACCACCAATTGATGTTTAGTGCCTTAGGTCTGCCATGATCTTGTGTTCACAGGGTTGCATCCCAAATATGTCCTGATTATAATCCTTCATTTGCCAGCACCATACTTTAGGCAGATGGTTACAGAAAGTGGCAAACAGTTAGAACTTTAGATTATTTTTTCCTCCCAAGTTAAGCTGGGTGGTGTGATAACCTAGTGGTTAAAGTGTTCACTCATTACCCGGGTTTTATTCTCCACATGGGTACAATGTGTGAAGCCCATTTCTGGTGTCCCCTGCTGTGATATTGCTGGAATATTGCTAAAAGCAGGCGTAAAACTAAACTCACACTCTCGCTTAGTCACTCACTCTCACATTAAGCAGACACTGATATTACGAAAATATTGTCCGAGTTAACCAAAATCCTACTGCTCCTGTTCCAGGTGTCACATTCCTGTCTGGAGGCCAGTCAGAAGAAGATGCAACACTCAACCTGAACGCCATCAACCAGTACCCTGGCCGCAAACCATGGGCTCTCACCTTCTCCTACGGGCGTGCCCTCCAGGCCAGTGTGCTTGCTGCATGGCAGGGCAAGGATGAAAACATCAAGGCTGGGCAGGGCGAGCTTTGCAGGAGAGCACAGGTCAGTGCACTAATTTCTGGTTTCAGTCAGAGTGGAGTAGCTTAGCGCTAAGACTACCTTAACTCTTTTAACGTACGGGAGTTACGGTAGCCTTAGAGCTAAGATCGCTCTATACAACGGGACCCAGTGTGGTGCATGTAACAGGAAAACAGTGTTTTTTGTTTTGCTGTGATATTTCTGGAATATTGCTAAAAGCCTCGGAAAACCAAACTCATTCACTCACTGGTAATATTGTAATGAAGTTATAACTTTAAGCATTTTGGCCATGACAAAGACCTCGTAATTTCATGCTCTATTTTGACAGATATTTTAAGTTGAAGTAATTGTATCTGAATCAATGAAGCTTTTGTCCTTTCTATGTCTATGCAGTATTGGGGGGACATATATGTATGTCATATTTAGGTCTGCAACAATTCAACCAGACCACATTCAATTTGATTTTTGATAATGGACCGTCAATTCGATCATTTTTGATAATGGACCTTCGATTCGATCATTTTCGAGTTGATTCTTCATACATCAGATTTCATTTAACTCTCAGACTCGGCTTTTTTAAGTGTGAAATCCATCGTCAACTTGGCGATGTCTACTAACAACAATTCTCATTGGATAATTTGCCAAGCATAAACCAATCAAGTTTCGCCTTATTTCAGCACTCGAAACTGCTCCAGTTGGAGTCAAAATTACGTTCCTTGGAAACAATTTTAAATAGGTATTCAAATATCGAAATAGTGATAATGGTTATCGAAAATTGAAACTAAGGTGTCAGATTTGATTTTTGATGAATCAAACCGAATGGTTGCAGCCCTAGTCATATTTCAGTTGCATCCCTGCCTCTGATTGAAATATATATCGGTGGTTCACAATACTTTTTTTGTTTCAGGCCAATGGAGCTGCAGCTCTTGGAAAGTACACAGGTGGTAGTGAGAGTGCTGCTGGCGGAAAGTCTCTCTTTGTTGCCAACCACGCTTACTAACCTGTTGACTTAAGAAAAAACACAAGTTATCTTCTCAAACTTTATCTGAAATTTTAGACTAAGCTCTGTGTATGTAGTTAGCAGTGGGATAGTGAATAGACATCAAACTGATGTTGAAGTGATGTCTAACTTCTTCACAGTACTACTCAAACTTACATCTCAACACTTCCTGCTTTATTTCACACTGGGTATGCGAAAATAAGCAATGCAATGGGTGAGTTTTAAGGGAGGGAAATCATTATTTGAGCCGGTTTTGTTTTGTACAGCTGTAATATTTGCTCATCCAGCCTTTAACAGTGTCTATTGTATATAATACTTTGTTCCATAATGTTTCTGTGATTCCCCTGTATTTGCCAATGGTATAATATTTCCTGTAGGCAGTTGTTTACAGTCATGTCTTTTTGTTTTGATTTATTTTTTTGAGAATACTTCATAAATGAGGGGTGGAAAACAAATGCCAGGAAATGTGATCATAAAATTTGTTCGTTTCTGAGGAGAATGACCCATGTATTACATTGCTACTGCATGTGGATCTAGTGATTGTTAAGATTTGTGATATCCACTTTGTATTGTCTGGATTGTTCCCAGTGTATCAGATAAACTGTTGAACAAACACTGTGGGTTTTGTTCTGTGTTCTGGGGCAGTTTCTGTGATTAAGCAGTTCCCTTTCTGAGGGGAGAGTGTTGGTGCACTCAAGACAATTATGTACGGGGCTGCTTTTGTTTTTTGCAGGGGTGGTTGGGTAGCTTAATGGTTAAAGCAATTGCTCGTCATGTAGAAAATACGGGTTTGATTCCCCACATGGGTACAATGTGTCAAGCAGATTTCTGGTGTCCCCTGTCGTGATATTGCGGGAATATTGCTGAAAGCGCATAAAACCTCACTAACTCACTCGGTTTTGTCTATGAGTGACTTTCAGCAGTTCCCAGCAACCAATGTTCCTCATTATAGGTGATCAGATTGAACAGGTGGTCAGACTTAGTGACTGAAAAAGAGGATCTGATCAAGACTATTAATTCCATATTGCCACCATACACCTGGAGTTTTACTCAGTGAAGGGCAGTGTGTGAAACAGTTTCCAAATTTTGCAAGTCAGTCGGCCAAGCTATGCCTGAAAGTTAATAGCCCACAAAACAATTCACTAGCCAGAAATTTGAATGTAGACACAGGTTTCATCATTGAGCTGCTAATATGATGAACTTTATCAGGCTATAATAATGCATGATTTAAAAGTGTATTATAAGTTAACAAGTCGGAGGGAGAGATATATTTACAAAATGACCCCATGAAAATGCACTAGCCATTCGTGCCACTGACTGCAGAGATTTAATGGCCTGACTGGATATTTACTAGCTATTTCGCACACTGGTGAAGCGTCAGACAACACCGAAAAATGAAAAGAAAAAAACCCCAAACACATTTAATACAAAGCCCTTTCGAGTCGGTTTCTGATCAAGTACCATCCATTGTAAATTTTCTGTCCATGATGCTGCATGACTCAGAAATCCAGAGCAAAATGAGTTCTCGACACCATCCAGGTACGAGGTTGTTGTAGCTTTGGAAGAACACCTGTGATTTGCACGCCTGTGACTTAATTTCTATTGATTTGACAGTCAACGATAAAACTGAAATTGTGTTCAAGAATTTATCCAAACTGGTTCGTGTTCTTCATATGAGCAAATTACATCATTCTAAATTTCAGAAAATATGACTAAGAACCACGTGTGCAAATCGTTTTGTGTTTTATGTGACAATATCTAAAGTCTTCTGTTCATAAAGTTAAACATAAAGGATTAACAGTTGTTCCCAGCTTGAATATGTGATTTATTGATGGATGGTTGTTTGCAGTTTTTATTTCATTTGTTGCATGAAACTTAAAGATCGTCGCTTAAAACAACAAAGAGTATACAAAACCGAAACCCGAAAATAAAACAAAGTTTACGTAATTGATTTCTTCTCCGACACTAAACACTCACCAGACATGAAAAGAAGGCGGTATTTCCGCAGTTGGGATTGAATCGAGACAATGCAAAACATGACCAACAATTTACTCCCATCAGGACACGATGACACAACGAGCATGTCACAGACCCAACCTGACCCTCGTCATTCCTGACAACAATGGGCTGATCATACACGGGGAAGTGAACGAGTCCCTTTTCCTATATAAAGGACAGTTAATAATTTATGGGTGGGGTGGTGGTCAGGCGCGTAGCCAGGAAGATACTGAGTGTAAGCACAAATGACGAACCATTTTGAAATCAGGGAAGGTATACCACATCTAAAAGTAAAACATTCTTCTGAACACGAGATAAAGTTAAGGCAAATATCAATAACATGGTAAAACATGCAAACCAAAAATATTATCTCCAAACTAGCGGATCAAACTCAAGAAGACCCTGACCATGTAAATATTGTAAATAGTTAACAGGGCTCCAGATAAGGGCCGTATCGGCGTATGTACGGATATAAAATAAGCACGATACGGTAGGAAACAATTTTAAAAACGTAGCAGATACGGACCACAGCAATGGTGTACGGTTTCAGAATCATTTACAGACGTATTTATCTGAAAAAAAGTATTGTTTTATTGTTTACTGACCTGTTTACACAAGAATAGCAATGTTGTGGTGCATATATGAAACGAAACACAAGATTACAGATACGCCATTAAATTCCATTCAGTACTCTAAATGTACTCTTATTGTTTTCCAGTACTCCTATATTGAAAAAATAAGGAGTTCGTACTCCTGATCATGAAAAATTATCTGGAACCCTGAGTTAAGTACCATAACAACCTAAAGAGAACTCGGTAAATGGAACGCTTCAACTTCAAAGCATAAGGTGGATGTCATGGCGACTGAGAGGATGCAACAAACGATCAAATCAGCATCAGGTCATCACAGGTGTTAGTCAAAGAGCAGAGCCAGTCTTCCAGTTTGACTTTGTTCGAATATTTCAATGACTTTGTCAATGTCCATCACGAAATCACAATGTAGGTGAATCAGTGCAAGTGCAGACAATCTGCCAGTTAACATTGTTGACCTGAGGTATGTCTTAATGCGTCTCTGAAGGAACACTCAGCTGTTGCATAGGACACTGGCATTGTAGCCAAGGTTTTCACGGCCACATAGATGTGAGGATAAAGATCCCCCTTGGCAAAGTTGAGAGTTGTAACCAGACAAGATGGCCTTTCTTCAATGGCTTCGTCCTGCCAGAGAGACTATATTGTAGAGTATCCCTGATCCTGCCAACGGCATTTCGGTGTGCGGACAAAAACTCCTGTGGACAAAAGCCCCCTAGGACAAAACCCCCTTAGGACAAAAAAACCCCACCATGTGGGACAAAAAATCCCAAAGCTCCAAATGAATAATGAAGATTGTCTATTATTCAAATATTTTATTTATCCGACATCACATACATCATGAGCACCAATTTGCACTAGCATAAACTGGGTACATCACAATTTGAGCACTAATTTGCCTCTCAACACCTTCGTAGCTTAACCCTTATTATTCTTCAATATCTCCATGCTGGAATGCTACTGCCTGTTTAGTTTATGGAGCATATATTGAGACCAGTTGTAATGTGACAGTGAGTTGAAATGCTTAATAATGTGTACATATCTAATAGGGCTGTGCAATATTACCGGTAAACCGGTATATACCGGTACAGTATCTCCCGATACGATTATCGCCATATGGTTCAGATTCTGCAATAGATTGGGTCATCCAGAGTTAGCTCCCTTTAAATAACTGCCCTTCATTTCCATAGCAACAAAATGAGCTCTAAAAGTGCCAAATATACTTTTGTTTCTTTTCTGTATCATGTAACATTTTACAAGTGGAAGTGTCTTTATAAGTGGCGGCAAAAGTGCAAAATATTCTACCAAATGCTTTAAGTTTGGGGTTTGAATGGTTACATATGTGACGTTTTGGAGGAATTCAGTGGCCTCAAATGGACCAATCTTTTACGAAAAGCAAGATTTATGGATTTCAACTTATTGTTGTGAATAACGTTTTGGAGTGTATGCTTGCTCCTTCATCAGGTCATGCATATTCACAATAAAAAAGCTGACACCCATAAATCTTGCCTTTCTTATGCATTCCATTTCTAAATGCCCTTCAAAAATTTGACCAATCTTTTATTTGGACCTATAAGTAGAGCTACTGGCTCTGAGTGACCATTTCACAATTCACATTATTTTGTTATTTTTGTTTAATAATGGGACATATGTTATCAATTTATGATAAAGGCCAAAGTCTTATAAATTTTGTAGGACTCACCGTCACAGTACAGCTGCGTATCAAAAGTTTGTTCACTTCATAAATGGAAACGCTTGTAGTACTTTTACATTAAAGTACTGCTTTCAATTTAATTCCAGTGTCTGTTTGCAAATCCTATTCGTAAATTATGCATTCAAATGAGCTCAAGTTGTGTGTTCTCATCATTGTTGTGCGTTTAAACAACTTAGTAACCGCTCTGATACTTTAACGGAATCGCAGAATGAAATTCAGGAGCGGCGATCATCGAGACAGAAAGGTGAGTTATACTTTTATTTTGTTATTGTGCTTAAATTATGACATCAACATTTGTGAGGATATATTTAAACTATCCTCTGGCAGAAAGATAGAACAGTTACAAATTTCATTCCATCATAATTAAGCGTATAAAATCTTCCCTGTAAGAAATCTGAACTTTTCTGCTTGAAAGTATAATGTTCCGTTGCTGGGATGCTTTTAGTCTTCGGTTTGAAACATTTGGTAACGCACAATGTGTCGATAATAAACTGTCGTGATTTCTTTACAGAATGGATCAGGCAAAGAAACGAAACTGGACAAACTTGGAACGGAGCAGGATTGTGACATTGAGGGATGCAGGGAATAAATGGAGTACAATTCAGAAGTTTATGGCGAGAGAATACAAGTGTGATGTCTCAGTTAGAGGTATGATCAAGTTATATAAGAAATACAAAGAATCTGGCCGCATTGAAGATTTGCCAAGGTCAGGCAGACCTCGATGTACTTCAAGACGTGAAGACCGAATAATCAGGAAACTGTGTCTAAAGGATAGATATGCTACACTGAACATTATTCATGGTAGACTAAAGCAATCATTGAGTAAACAGGTTAGTCGGATGACTATCTCTCGTAGACTACAAACATTTGGGTTAAAATGTTTTGTCCCTGCCAGAAAACCTCTTCTCAATAAGAAGCAAAGAAAACAGCGATTTTCATGGGCTAAACGGGTCAAACAGTTTCGGCTGCCGCAGTGGAACAAGATATTATTTTCTGATGAATCCATTTTCCGTTGCTTCAGTAACCGAAGACGCATGAGAGTGCGACGTTTCAGCTATGAACGCTACAAAACAGCTTGTTTACAGAGCACTGTAAAGCACCCCCCTCAAGTTCATGTCTGGGGGATGATTTCCCACAACGGGCCAGGGATTCTGAAAATTGTTCCAGGAACATTGAATAGTGAACGATATCAACAACATATCATCAACGATATTTCAAATCATGGTTCCTGTCTGGTTTTTCCAGAAAAGGGCTTTGTGTTCCAGCATGATAATGCTCCAGCTCACAATTCCAGATCTACACGTGCTTATCTGGCT